GGATTTTTGTTGTCTTTTATACTTCGTGTATTTTTAGGCTTATGATTATCTTTAGTTATTAATATAACTATGAAACTCAATGACAAATATCAACACTATTAGTAAGATTCTCGTGATAAAGTCATCCAAATAATAAAAACGATCATAATTCAGCAAAATTATTTGTGAATTAAGAGAGATATATCCAATCAGTTGAATTCAAATACCATAACTAAATATTATCAAAACATCAAAATGTATATGCATATGAAAATAGATATTGCAAACATTTTTTATAAGGCAAAATACATAAGTTGGCACCCGAACAATGGACCAAATCCATGTTGCACACTTTTTGTGGACACAAATAATATTACACACTCAACCTTTTAAAAGTGTGTCTAATACACCCCACTTTTTTCTTGACCACTTTACCTAAATATGGGTAATGTCACACACCAATAAGATCGTGACACATGTCATTAACATAAATAAATAAAACAAAAAATATAAAATTACACATATACCCTCATCTTCTCCAACCCCATCTCTTCCACCTCCATCTCCTCCTCCACGGACCACCCAAAAAATTAGAACACACAATTCAACCCAAAAATTAGGAGCCCAAGTGATTTAATCCCAGAAAGAAATAAAAACATCAAAAGCCAATAAGCCCTGGCTCACACCACCGTATCATCACCACAACAAGGCCATTGTTAAAAAAAAAATGCAACAATGACAAAGGTAGATCGAAAATTACAACTGTTTGGGTACCATATCTATTGAAGCTTATCTACATCAACAAAGACATAAACGGACTATTTTCATTTATAGCTCTCTTCCAAAATTTTGTTTGTCATTTCCATGGCTGCCATCGCCACCACCAACTTTCAGAATAAAAAATTCAGTCTCCTCTTCAAAATAGATTGGAAGCTTGAGATTAATGCAAAATATGTATATTTAAGAGAAAATCAGAAAGAAAAAGAAAAAGAAGGGATTTGGTGGGGGGGAGGTGTTGGCTGGTGGAAGAGAGAGATAGAGGAAGGATGGGGAAGATGAGGAGATTGCAGACACATGGCATAAAATAAATAATTAAACAGTATTTTTATTAGTAGACGCGCTTCTATCGTGGTGTTTTACACATGCTGAGTCCTGGTCAAAAGCGGTGTTTATTAGGCACACTTTTAAAAGGTTAAGTGTGTAATATTATTTGTGTCCACAGAAAGTGTATAACAGAGATTTGGTCTATTGTTCGGGTGCCAACTTATGTATTTTGCGTTTTTATAATGATTTATCTGAATGCACAATACATGAAATGTTAATAGATTTTTATACCTTTTGAGAATTATATTACATAACGATACCTTTATGTTGGTTAAGATAATAATAATAAATATTAATTTTTTACCTTAATTTTTATGATAGTCATTTTTTTTTCTAGAAACACGTATTGTTGGGTTTAAACAACACCCATCCGATTAAATGTTTGTCACGATCCGGATTTTTCACCCTCGAGAGTCGTGATGACGCCACTCGTAGAAGCTAGGCAATCCATTAACTTAGAAATCATTAACTCCTTTATTTTAAAACTTCTTACCACTTATAATAACAAGGAAATAAACCGTTAAATAACAGCGGAATATGAAATTTAGCGGAAGTCTTAAATAAATAGAAAACGAAAATGTCTCAAAAACCATCACATGCCTCTAACCAGAACCTGGTGTCACAATATCTACGAACTACTAAGAGTACTAAATATAACCGTTTGAAAGAAATATAGCATTGTTTGTCTCGAATACATGAGATAACAGAATATGAAATAAGATAGAGGAGACGTCGGGCCTGCGGACGCCTGCAAGGCTACCTCGGTGTCTCGGTGGACTGAAGGCTGGCTCCCGAGCTACTTCTGCTAATCAAAAGCTATTCCGGTATCTACACAGAGTGCAGAGTGTAGTATCAGCACAACCGACCACATGTGCTGGTAAGTGTCTGGCCTAACCTCGGTGAGATAGTGACGAGGCTAGGACCAAACTCCAGATAAACCTGTGCAGTTATATAATATATGGTGAAAAAAGTAAACAGGTAATAAACAATCAAGATGGGGAATGGGAGCATGCTTGGGGGGTAGCATATAAAACAGAATATCAAAGAATAATAAGGAAACTACAATTTAACTTCTAACACGGATAAAAAGACATAAGACAACTTTCACTTTCAATTTCATCTTGTTACAGGCGTGCAACCCGATCCCATTTCTCATATCTTGTGGTAGGC